AATAGTTCAGTATGATATATTTATTGTTTACTCAATTAATTGTTACCAGAATATTTGTTTATTGAACCATGATAATACAATAGTTTTGAAATTTGAATTGATATATAAAAAATTGGTGCATTATTAATGCAGGCCAATTAGGACTGTTTTTAAAGTAAGGGGTGCGTTTGCACACCTTGACCCTCCCCAAATGACGCCCCTGATTTAACACCATCCCCATGTGTTTAAAAATCAAATGCAAATGGACACAACACTTCATCTTGAACATAATAACGATGATTTTGTATATTCAACTCTATAAATAAAGGATTTTCTTCATTTAAGCCTTGATTTTTCCGCGGTAATAACTGGTATATCGTCATCACATTTAATTTGATAAACAAATATAAAAGTTATATGCAAAGTACTTAAGTAAAAGTATTCAATCAGTTTTAAGTATTTAAAATTTTTTTTGCCAAGTATTTTTATTTAAAACAGTGGGACGTGACATAGTTGGAACATGTATAGATGATATCAAACATTGTTTTAAGAAATTGATGGATTATACCAAATAAACTCCTATTTTCTTATTTATATCCTGATCATAAGTTTCATGATTTATAAGTTAATATATGAATAAATATTTATTATAACTATTAGGTATATTGTAAAATTGATATTTAATAATTTTGTATTGTAATTATAAATTATAAATAATTATAATTTAGTTATTACATGACAAACTTGTATAAAAATTGAAGGTGTTAATACAAAACTTTACAGAAAATAATTTGTTTTTAATTATTTTCTGAATTATAAATAAATGGTCTGCAAGAAATTTTCAGAACTTAATTTATTTCATTTTTAGCTTTGATGCGAAGCTGAGATGGTATTGGTTTTACTATGATAAGATTATTTTTCTCAGCCCTCACCGAACCGATTTCTTTCAAAGATACGTCAAAAGATCACAAATCGTATCTAGTTGAAGACATTACCTTCAATAATTCCCCTTGTTCCTCATAAATGGGAGAAATCTCCAAAAATTTAAAAATCGCTAATTTTCCACATTTTTTCAATTTTTTACACTTAAAACTGCGATAACTTTTTGAAAAATAACCAA